ATTTACAGGGGCATTCACTATAAACATCATTTATTTTCAATCTTAGGCATACACGACTTTCAGGCGAAAGTGAATCTAGCTTGTGTGAAATACGCTAGGCTGTACTTGTCCCTCTCATTCTGCACCAGTACAAATATGTGCATGCTTTGCGCGTGTTTTGCTTGCTTGAGTGTTTCTGCATTATATGAGTGGCTTTGGAATATAAATCGCAGCACGATTCAGATGAAAAAAACGCGACTTCTATTACTGAAAATATCACAGTTAGAAGATTTATAACGAGTGGTTCCCTGCATTATTACAGCAAAGCGCGTGATTACAGTACTGAGCCGCTGCAATGGAGCAGCTCTAATGCTATTAAATTAAAGATGATGTACCATAGAGCAAAACAATTAACAGTGAAAGTAACAAAAACTTGTAAAATACATTTTAATGGCCGTAATTAAGTGTTCAGGTTTGCATGAAGCTGGGTGACAGCAATAAATTATTCTTTTCATTTGGAAGGTGAAGGTCTGAAGGTGTTTTAAGTCCGAAACACTGCACGATGTTTTGGCTGTCCCAGACAAAAGATTAGCATTGGGAAACAATCGTGGTGATTTATGTGATCGTGGCTCCTAATCGGTGGTCCTGTGTCATACACTGAGAGAGGTCCAAAGATGGCCCTTGTCACAGCCTTGCGACCAAAGATAGCCTATGATAATTTTCTGACAGTCCCGTACCCGCCCTCCCACCCGCTCCAGCTTCCTCCTCCGCTGTCGTCTGGGTCGGGGAGACGAGCGGGAGTCGGCACCATCTATACGGTGCGAGCGCCGCGGTACTGCCATCCCCCAGCGTTGCCATGGCTGGAGTCTCCCTTGACTCTGCCTCCAGCCTCCGAGGCCTGGACTCCGCCTCGGTCCGTTGACTTGTCGGCTCCACCATGGCTCCTAGCTCCCTCCTCTCCATTGTGGCCCGGCAGTCCACAAGCTCCGCCAGGCTCCCTCGTCCCTCCGGCTCCACCTTGGTCTGGCGTCGACCATCCTGCGCCTCCTCTGTCGCTCCGGCTCCACCGCGGCCTCCCGGATCCACATCTTTGCGTCGGTTGTCGGCGCCATCTGTTCCGCCTAGGACCTCCGGATCCTCCCCGTCGCCCTGGCTCATCGGCTCTCCGTCTCCGCCTCGGGCTCCTCCACCACCTGCTCCGCCACCGTTGGTCATCAATATGGCTGTGGCCTGGGCTCCTCCTGCTCCAAGCCCCGCCTGTTTCCTCCCTGGCTCCTCCCTCCATCATCTCCTCCCTGGACTCTGTCTGCCAGCCCCCTCCCGGGTATCCGTCCTCCTCCGGAACCTCCTCCCAAGTTCCCACCCATTCCCCTCCCCATGTTGTTTCTACGGTGCGAGTACGCACCTACCGGTAGGGGGAGTAATGTCATGCCCGGGACTCATTGTGTTGTGTTTTCCCTCCACATGGGTTCCGTGTCCCTGTTAATTAGTTATTACATGCACCTGTGTTTCCCCAATTATCCTGTGTTTAAAAGCCCTAGTCCATTCAGTTCATGTTTGTCGGAGTTTATACGTCAACCCTGGTGTTTCCTGTGCTCCTGTCTGCCCCGTCTATTTCCTTGGATGTTTGGATTAAAAGACTATTGTTTTCGTGTACTCCTGGTCTCCTCGCTCCGCGCCATAGGCAAAGTGTGACACCAGGTGGATACTGCACATTGGTGGTGGTTAAAGAGATTCTCCCCTTTCATGTAAAGTGCTATGAGTACCCAAAGCGTTATATAAATGTAATGAATTATTATTATTATTATTATTAGATCCATGCCATGTGATTTGCAATGATCTTATAGGACTGCTAAAATCGTGCAGTCTGTAGAAGGCTTTGGTTTAGTAATCCTGAATTGAATTGCAGACAATTATTTATTTATTGTGGTACTATATACATTCATTGCAAATTATGAAAATTAAAAAAATTACTTTTCTTGTTATATTATGAATGTCAAAACAAAACCTATGCCCTTGTCTCAAACACTTCTCTTTGTTCCCTATTCCAATGCTATTTCATGCTTTTTTCAATTGATTGTGTATGGGGGCCAGCAAGGTTGACATATGTCT